ACCTCTTTGTGGCGATTCAGATCTTTGATGCAGCGATCACAAGCGTTGATGAAGTGCAACGCCTCTACTCAGTCCACACGAACAGCTTCCGGTCACAGTGCTAGCTGCTTACGAACGGAATTATTTGAGTGAGAAAAGAGAATCAAAAACGAAATTGCATCAAGTGAAAGCTTCATCACAAGGGTTCCTTTTATAGACTCTCTTGTGGGCTGCGGGCTAAAACCCTAATTCACATGATCCATAATAATATTATATATTATTATAATAACTATTATTATAATAAATATATTTATTTTATTATTATTTTATAACCATTATAAAATAACAATAATTATTATTATATTATCCGAATTTCTATTTTTCACTTAAGTGCACCGTACCTTACGGTGTTCCTTTGATTTCTCTATCTCTCATCAAACTGTCCTTATGTGTGTGACCCTGTAGGATTTCGTAACGTTGGTAATTATATTAAATTATATATATTTAACATAATAAACAGTAAGCGGTATCTAGCAACACATCACTGCTACCCAAGTCACGAAAATGTCATGTGATCTGACAAAACCTTTTTCGTGATAATATATGTTTGTACAATTACCCTTTTGCCCCTATGTCTATATTGAACACAAGGCATACACTGTGTCATCCTTGTCCAGTTCAATATTGGGCCCTTAGACATTTCTCCTGTTATGCAGGATTGGCAAATTCCATCTAGGACACTCATGTCCCTCAGCATGCTTCGTGGAGTGCCCATCAACTGTCTTTATGATCATCCAGTTACGGATAATGTTTGATCAGCAATAAAGCACCCGACTCTACATCTAGGGTCCATAGTGGTTTCAGGTCGAAGGGTGGTAATACACCATTATCACCATGAGAATAACTTATGACACTTTGCATAACATACTATGTAGTATTCTCATAGCGGGTCAATCCGGTATAAATATTACTCCTAATATTTATACCTATGTCAAGACTTGATAACTCTTTATCCATGATCCATGAGATGTGATCATCAGTCTATCTTCATAATAGTCTCAATGCTTTTAATGTTATCCCACTTTGCAATAAAGCTTGACTACGGATATTTTAAGAATAATGTCTTTATGTTTAATGGGATCTCATGATTAAGTCACACTTAACATTTCATTAAACAGACTAAGTATTCTAGGGACTTTATTATTCTGAAAGACAAACATAATAAAGAAATGCCTTTTATTATTAAACGAATAATCCGATACAAGTACCAAAAAGTATTGGCCTCTAGGGCTTACACCAACAAGCAGACTAGGTCACCCTCCTCTGTTATTCACAAAACTTTGGCTCAACAATGCCCAAGTATCATTTACAATCTTAATAAGAATTTACCTTGCCATTTTTGTCATTTATCTAAACAACGACATTTACCTTATCCCGATAGTATTACTAATTTTTCCAAATCTTTTGATTTGCTTCATGCTGATATTTGGGGTCCTTATGCGATTCCCTCTATAACTAATCACCATTATTTTCTCACTCTTGTTGACGATTTCTCTCGGTTTACTTGGACTATTTTTATGACACATAAAAGTGAACCTATGACTTGGCTAATGCAATTTATATCTCTTATTTAAACTCAATTTTCTGCTACTTTAAAATTCCTGTATACTGACAATGGCCCCGAGTTTCTAATGACTGATTTTTATAGTTCTAAAGGTATCTTGCACCAGAGGTCTTGTGTTGAATGTTTCCAACAAAACGGTATCGTTGAATAAGCATCAACACATCTTCAATGTTGCACGATCCCTCTTTTTTCAAGCTAATCTTCCGAATAATTTATGGCATATTTCTATTTCTCATGCTATTCATTTAATTAATCGTCTTCCCTCACCCATTCTTAATTTTAATTCACCTTATTTTCTATTATATCACAAGTTGCCTGATTATGATTCTTTAAAATGCTTTGACTGCCTTGCGTATGTTGGTTATCGTACAGGCACCAAAGGTTTTCTTCTTTATAATTTATCTTCTTTATGATTTATCTTCTTTATGACTACTACTCACCCTGATATTTCTTTTGTTGTTCAGCAGCTCAATCAGTTTGTCTCTCACCCTACTAAAGATCACTTTAAAGTTGCAAATCGTGTTCTTTAATATTTAAAGAGTAACCCTGCTCTAGAGCTATTTTACCCATCCAATTCTAACTTAAATCTTTCTGGTTTTGCAGATAGTGATTGTGCAACTTACCCTACCACAAGGCGTCCCACCACTGGCTTCACTGTCTTCCTTGGAAAGTCTTTAATTTCGTGGAAATCCAAAAAGCAAACGGCGATTTATCGTTCCAACTTCGAAGTCGAATATTGTGCGCTTGCTGCCCTTACTTGTGAAGTCCAATGGCTTCACTAACTTTTCACTGACCTGCATCTCAGCTTTACCAATTCTACTTCCATCTATTGTGATAATCATTATGCTGTTTACCTTGCTCACAATCCGACATTTAATGAACGTTCCAAACACATTGAATTTGACTGCCATATCATCCGTGAAAAACTGGAAACTGGCCTCATCAAACTCTTCCCAATACCCTCTTCTGCACAACTTGCTGATTTTTTGACTAAGCCATTGCGAGCTCCTTCTTTTTCCAGTTTCATTGTCAAGCTTGGTCTTATGTCTCTCCACAGTCCAGCTTATAGGGGAGTATTAAATAATAAATCTTCCTAATTCAGTATTTTTACCGTTTCTTTTATTTTCCTGCTTTCTAGGAATCTGTTAACTTTTTTATTGGTTTCTAATATATATATATATATATATATATATATATATATATATATATATATATATATATATATATATATATATATATATATATATATATATATATATATATATATATATATATATATATATATATATATATATATATAAAAGGTCCTCATGTATATTGAAACTGACCAAGTGAATAATAATATAGTTTGTATGATGAGGTTTTAGTATTCTAATAAACACTAAAAATTATTACTCTCTTTTTTCATAATTTCTTTCATTAATTTATTTTTAATATTGATTATTTTATTAGCGTCACTAATCTAGTTCATTAATATGTACTTCGTCCATTCCATAATATAAGCAAATTTTAACTTTTTAGCATCATTAATCTAATTTGTGTTTCAAGACTTTACGTTTGCTTTTGTTAGAAATTTTTTTATAGTAGGATTAAGTCACCAAATTGAATACGTATTATGAACAAAAAGTTTAGATAAAAGATATGCACATTGATTTTTTTTCTCCGATCTATATAATTTTACTATAAACTTATCCACATGAAGGGAAAGATTTTAGTTTCGAATCCAAAATATTGTACAAATTATCCGACCCTGTTTTTTGAAAGACTTCCCACAAATATATCACGATAAATTTGTTGAGAAATAAATGTGAGTGGTATAAATCTAACATTGCTTAGAAAAGTGGAGATTGAACACTTTGTAAGTGAGATGATCCAAACACTCATTTCTTTAATATGTGGTGAATATGTGGTGTCTTTGTAACTTGTTTGAGTGAGTTTTTGACCTTTAATTGAGTCTTTGACACAATTTAGATGATTCTTCTTCATGATGACCTATCAAAACATTGGGGGGTAGTTGTTTTGAGTCGGTCAAATGTCCAATAAAAAAAGTTTCACATGTGACTTAGGTCAGATATCCCTAATTAGGGTGGCAGACGAGTATGCCCAACCTACAAAAAAAAGTTATGGAACGAGTATTGTTGAGGATACAAGTTTAAAACCTTGGCCTGCCCTGCATAAAAATGAGGGTTGGACGGGGCGAGTCCACGAGCATTGCACTTATTAAGTTCAAAAATTATAAAAAATTATGTTAATGTTCGACCAACAAAAATAATTAGGATGTGGCTGACATATTAGAGGATGCAGGTCTAAAATATTGATCGGTTCTAAAAAAAATATGGACTAAACCAACATGCCTAATTAACTTGGTCCATTTTGCCACCTCAATCCCTGACCACGGTTGGATATCATTTAACAGGTCTCTCTCATTCCAAGGAGTGAAGCATGAACATCTCAACCAAATTTCATATATAAGGTACTCACATGGCAGATATAGAAAAAGTTCCTTATGCATAATGTACTTTTGCTTTATGAGTTGTAACTTTGTGTCATATATATATATATATATATATAGTCTGTGATATTGATTCTAGAAAGTTAACTTTTTATATATTATGACATTTGCGGATGATCATTGTCTTAAAAATTAAAATTATAAAATGTGTTATTTTATCCGCTAGCTATTGAGGCTAAGTGTATTATAGTAACTAAAGCGTTTAAAGAAATATTTTGGATGAAGAAATTTTTATAAGAGTTTAGTGTTGAGCAAAGAGAAACTTTTGTTGTTCTCTATCCGTTTAAATGCAATCCATCTTGGTGAAAATTCAACATTTCACTCCAAATCAAAGTATAATGAGGATTGATATCATTGAATATGAGATACACCAAAAAAGAAATCGTTTTCAATAAAGATTCATTATGAAGAGAATAGTTTATAAATATAATGATGAAAATAATTTCCGACTAATTGAGAAGGAATAGTAAGTATTCTTAACTTACTATTCCTTACTTTAAAATAAGAAAATGATTTGTGAATATAAGTTATGACATCAGATATCCTATTCTTTTACTGTTAGAATTTTTTAATAAATTTTCCTTTTTTTCTTAGTTTACACACTCAATCTTATATTTAAAAATCATCACACAAACGGTTCAACAGAACAAAGTCCATTATATAGCTACAGAGTCTTGATGATCATAATATGGAACATTAAATACATGCTATTTTTATATTTTAATCACAAATGCAAAAATTGAGCCCTTAAAGTTCCTTCCAAACCCAAACCAAAAATTCCTACAGGTGCTAAAGCCTAAAGTGATCATGTACAACATCAAGCACCAAGGACATTCATTACTTAGCAAGTGTTTATCAACTAATTATGATCTTTAACTACACTAATCAACTAGTAGTATCCTCCATTCTAACCATAAGCCTTATTCTCTTGCATGATTCAACAAACATTCTGATAAAAAACAAAAAAAAGAGATGAATTATTTATAGATAAAAAAAAAAGAATGAAAAAGATATATATGAATAGAGTAGATGATAACATACTTCCAGGGTACATCTCCAAGCAACATCCAGTCACCATCTTTGTCCTCATAGGTAAGCATGTATTTCTTCTCGTTCATCAAATTAGACTTAGTACTCACAAACATGGTATCCAATGCTCTGAGAAGATGGTCGTAACCGTTATAAATTTCGAGATCTATTTTTCTTAGATATGGAGCTCCGTCAACCGCAACTTTGACGTACTTGCAAGTTTTCATGGCAATTTTCTTTCTGTTTCCTCTCACCGGTGGCCATCCCACCACATGTTTGGTGCCAAGATGAAGATCAAGGGTAGTGGAGAAGGCACGTTTTGTGAGTGCTGAAGGTGTCGTTGATTTGGTGGAACCGGGAAGAGCAAGGGTGAGCTTAGTCTCCTCCTGAATATTCATGTTCAAAGCTCTGTAGCTTGGTCGTGTCGTGAGACCAAAGTGATGTTTGTTTGTTCGCAAACGTGTGTGCCTTATACTATGCTGTCTGTGGGCGGCGAGCGTTTTCGACCATAGGAAACTTGACACGTGGTATAGCTTAATGAACGGTTCAGATTCTTCCACGTGTGTGTTTTTTCTTTCTCATTTCGTCATTGCCCTTCTGTATATCAACTAAATTACTTTAGCTTCTAAATCATAAAGTCTATCAGATCCTTACAACGTTACAATTGTTATTATTTCACTTGAATGGTAGACTTTGTATATACATGAAAGCCATAGAATGAATATACGGATAAGTAATACGGTGTATTAGATTCTCGATGTTGTAGAAAGATTGCACTCTTGTAAAGTTATATTCAAGCGTTTTGTGGATTGGGTTTTCGATATTGTAAAAAGATTGTAGTCTTGTAAAGTTATACTCAAACGACCAAGTTAATTAATGAATGAAAAGTAGTTTTAGAATGAAAATGGAATAAATACTATTCTGTGATATGGTATTTATATAATATGGATAGTTAAAGTCATCTGCGTGTGATTTAATTTTTGTGCGGATTGACGTTCGATTGGATCTAACTATGAGAGACGTGATAGAAGGCATGGCATAGACGAGAGTCCGCCTGTTTCGTACACCTTTTTCTCCGTCATTTAATATTCGACCTTGCACGCAACCTAAAATAGTTTTCCCTCAAGCCATTGTTCCTATGTTGTAGAACGAGGTTTTGTTGGGTTCATTTTCCAACACATAAGAGCATTGATAGGATATTTATGTCATTAGAAAAAGTTGTATTAAATGTTTCCCTCGTGATTAGTGATAATTGGTCTTTGAATGGTTCTTTTTAGTGGTATTTGTTTATGATTTTACTGCATTTTGTTAGATTTTCTTTTATTTGTCATATTTTATGCTTTGTTTGTGTTTTCTTGTGAGTTTAAGGGTCTAATGAGCATCCAAGTAAAGAGGGATCAAAGGCAAGCGAAACAGGGTCAAAATAGAAGAAGACAATTTCTCCGATACAAAAGTCAAAGGGCTGCTACAGCCACCCGTAGCAGTTGCTACGGGCCGTAACAGCATGATGTCCCAAGACCCTTATTTGAAGTTTCCTAGTAGTTATTCCAGGGACCTGCTACGGCCACCCGTAGCAGGGATGCGAGAGAAAAGTCTAATATTTGTCTTTCTTTCATAAATAGAAAGATCTCCTCTTTATTATGTCTCTTAGGCATGATTAAATCTAAATCAAATTTAAATATTTTGCATTGAACCCAGGATATTTTGAACTTTTATTATTACCCTATAAAACTCCGCAATTCTAGTAAAAACAAATCGATAAATTAAAAAATATCATATTATTTTATATTTTTAACAACATGAACACAAATTTTAAATTTTTTATTGTTGAGTTATGAAACAATCAAACACTTATATTAAATTGTGTAATAGTTTAATAATGACGTGTTTTCTAAAAGTGATGGATATACAATATTATATAATAGTATAAATTAAAATATATAAATATAAATTATGCGAGTATGGGGCGTAGTGAGTACTAAGGTTCACGTACCTGCATTTATGCCCACTTATTTTAATGGATAATTACTCATTCACGAGTTTTTGCCCTACTCGTTGTGGATATTTTTTTAGGGTACCCATTGGGTATGGGTACAATTTTCATTCCTAAGTGTAACATCCCTTTCTAAGAATGCTTGTTTTCTTTGATAGGTTTCCTCCTCCCTTTTAACAACATTGAGGCGGGTGTTCTTAACCATCTAGTAATTGCTCTTTCACAGCTGCACCCAGTGAGATGGACTTATATCAAAGTCTTCCAATAATTGTATAAATACAAGAAAGGTGTATCATCTTTGACACTTTTCCTCCACCTCTTTAAATCCTAATAGAGTTATGAAAATTCAGCCCAAGGAGTAAGTCTCGTGTCTCTTAGGCAGAGTACTAAGTTGTTTGAGGTTTATTAAGAGAGTGTGAAGAAATTTAAGGACCGGTACTACCTGGTTAGCCCCTTTATCAACATAGATTTTTATCTTCCTTACAAATGTTCAGACAAATTCCCCAAATTTTGATGCCAGAGTCATTTCTTGGTGGATGTCGGGTCTTTATTCTATAAATTGGACGACTTTTCCCATGAAGAAACTTACATGAGGAAATTGGTAGTCGTCTTTCAAGATTTAGGTTTTGTTGAGAGCATTCCTCCTTTGAGGCTTCACCAAGGAAACAAAAGAAGCGGTTCATAGAGACACAATTGTTTGTGGAAACAGGTACAAAGAAGGATATGTAGATCATCTTTGGTGAGTAATTTGAGATATTTCTCTTTTATTTAGTGTTACTTAGTTGATTATTAATTCTTTATATTAATTAATTCCTAGTTTGCATATAAGATGAAATGTTGCAACACGATGCTTCAGATGAAGATGAGACATAGGATTTCCTCATTGCCTACAGTCATTGATGTAGTGCAGGATACTTGAGGAATACCACATACAGACTCCCGTGTAGGTTTGGCCGCAGTTAACCTTATTGTCCTAATCCAAGTGGAAGCCTAAGATTCTTTGAACTGAGTAATGGTAGAAGGTTTTCTACACTCGTAACCATATGGAGTTGTGTCACCAGGCATGTTGCTAGAGCTTCATATGGGGGAAGGGTCGTCTGTTAGATGAATTTGTACGTCCGAACAAAACTTAGAGAGACCAATCCCTTGTGTTTGTTTGATGTCGATCACATTTGCATTACCACTTTCATTTTTAATCTATCCTAGTCCATAGTCGGCTGGAGAGTTTCGGTCTTCTTTTTATGAGGAGGATTACACATTTTTTTTAGGCAAAGTCGAGGTTGTTCGTTAAGAGAATTTGCTTTAATCGGTTAACTAAACCCGTCGGGAATCGACTGTTTTGACATTTGGTGCTTCCAGAAAGGTAGACGTTTTCTTTCCCCACCATCTTTGGAAAGAAAAAAATGTTTCAAGAATGCGTCAATGCTCTTACTATCCAGCGGGACCGGTATTTGGAGGAGCTTACTAAGATGACTGCTTTGTTGAGAGCGATAAAAGTTGAGATGAGTAATTCAACCCTCATTTACTAACTGAGAGGGTGAAATCACTTGTGCAAGAGATAAAGGAGAAAGATGGAGCTTTAATGTGTGCTCGATCGGTATGTCCACAACTGAGGTCGCTCTTACAAAGGATCAAGAATTGGAATCTTCCCACAAGACGATGAAGGATTTGAAGTTGTCTCTAAGCGAGGCTTGAGAAGGTCAGAAAAAATTTGAGGAAAAAATTTGAGAGATGCGTCATGAAAACCTTGAGTTAACCAAAGAACATGTGAATTTAGTGAAACACAATTTCTCTCTTCTGCATTTTTTTTAATGCCCTTGCAATAAGTAGAATTTTTTAACCGCACAATGCATATTTCTATAGAGCAAATTTGTTCTGACTAGGAGAAGATGGATGAAAAACTGATCATTTTTGGGGACGAGTCGGCCTCATAGTTTTTTTTACCTACCCAGTGTAACATTTGTTGTAAATGAATTTTATATTATCCGCTTTGTGGCATTTTCTTATTTTGTTTACTTACCATTGTTTTTACTTTTTGTGGTGTTGCTTTAGTTCTCTAAGTTCATTTATATTTGAATTTGTTGTCATTCGAGGTTTCTCCCAAAAATTTTGTTGGACGTCTCTAGGAACTATTCCCGACTAAGGATCGATACCCCTTCCATACCCCCAAGTTTGAACTTGGCTCAAGGTTTACGTAAGTGAGTGGAACTTTCTATTAGATATATTTTGTGTGATGTCAAAACTAGAACACTTTAGCGTTTATATATATTGGACGATATCCTCTACGTCTTAATGTGCATCTTAGCATAGGAAGCATAAAAAGGTCCATGCATTTAGAAATTGCAATTGGAAATTTTTAGGAAAAGGTGTCAAGAATTAAAAACAGGTTTTTATGTGAAAAAAAAGTTATGTGTTAGCACATACAAGTCATGTGTCAGCACATACGAGTTATGTGTCAGCACATACGAGACATGTGTCAACACATACAAGTCATGTGTCAGTACATATGAGTTACGTGTCAGCAAATAAAAGAAAAAACATTTATATGTCGACACATGTGCTTTTCAGATCAGAACATGTATTGCATTTTTAAAGCCTATAGTCTCTGTTAGATGTGCCGCCTCTACAGGTTGACACATAACCTATACATGTCGACACATGACTTATTCAGGTCGGCACATGGCCTTTACAAGTCAGCTAATGACTTACATAGGTCGACACATGCATAAAAAATCTTTAAAAATTGCACTATTTCTCAAACCTATTGCATTCCTTTTTTCTTTTAACTTGCACACACACACACACACACACACATACATACATACATACATACATACATACATACATACATACATACATACATACATACATACATACATACATACATACATACATACATACATACATACATATATATATATATATATATATATATATATATATATATATATATATATATATATATATATATATATATATATATATATATATATGATCTTACCGGCTGATCAAAACCTAAAGTGGACCAGAGACAACGTCTGCGATGTTGGGTGTGAAAGATGAGGAGGGGGTGTACCTGTAAGGCAATCCAATGCTAAAGTGAGAATCGGGAGAAAAGAAGGCAAGTACAGAGTATGTGTGTTTTAGGATGATTCTTAAATACTTGACCCTCTCAAATGAGAGGATTTTTATAGTGCCCCCAACGCTTGGCCATTGGTCCCTATTTTCAGGGCGAGATATTCGCACCCTAAAGAATAGGTAACTTCCAGAAACTAGCCGTTGGGACGGGAAGAGGTTCCAAAAACTAGTCGTTGTTACGGACACAGGCGCAGTAACGGACACAGGCATCGTGACTATTTTTGGATGGTGGAACCGTTCGTGACGGGAAGGAACTGCTGAGGAGGG